ATGTGGAACAAAACTCAAAATCATTTGGAGAGGAAAAAAAAAAAAAAGTGGGGACCAGGTTTGCTGGTCTGATAGAGCCTGGTGGAACCACTGAGACTATGGCCCCTAGCTGCCCTTCAGGTCTGGAATTGAACCCATACCTGCGGTTTCCAGCCAAACAAAAGACAAGCATATGAGTTGAACATTTACCTCAAGTAGATACACTCTTTGGAGAGAACAATCATGGGAGAAAGAAGGGCTGCTTATGCACAGGGAGACAGCTCAGGGGGCAGGAGCGTGTGGAGGTATGGACACTGGGAAGAGGTAACTATGGGGAGGAAGTGGGAGGGGAGCTGTTGCATTGTGGTAAACTGTGGTCAATGACATGAGACAAAGTATATGTGAACCGTTGTATGGAAAGTGAATTTGCTCTGTAAATCTTCACCCAAATCACAATTTAAAAAAAAAGGGGGGGGGGAGAGCTGTGAGAGGAGAGACACAATGCAAAATCTGTAGCTGCAGTGAAACATGGGCCAATTGGATACTTTCAAACATAGAAGACATGTTATTACATTCATATTCTTCATGTAAATGAGTACCATAAAAGAAGAACTTAATGATGAAAAGTTAATAAGCACAGTTGAAAAAGCACGACCTAGGTACAGGATGGCATGAGAGCTGAAATGCAAGTAGAAGCTTTAGTATTGGGTTAAGGAGAGATATCTGTACCACTAAAACTAAGGAAAGGACAAAGAGGATAGAAATGTTTATAGGTTAAATCAAGAAGCTGAAAATTCCTGCCTCATAACTCTAATTTCTCTTATAAGACCATGTGAAAGGAAGTATGAAGGAAAAATATAGCACAACTGAAGATAAAACAATTTGAAGTGAATCCAAAAGAAAGAAAGGAATGTTAGAATTTATATGACTATGTGTGTGTGTCCACACCCTCCATGTATGAATGTATATGGTTGAGGGCAAGCCTAATCTGAGCTTTTTTGGGGTCAGATTCAACCTTGTTTCATGTCTTCTTCCTAGAAAATGTTCTGCATCCTCATACCCTTCCTGGCAAATCACAGCCAGCCCTTCAAAGTCAGCACCAGGTCCCAAGTGACTTTGGCTACTGCAGCCTCCCTCTTGAGCAGCAGTCCCAGGCTCCCGGGGGTTCTTTCCTGTGCTCTTTGAAGGCTACCTTGGCAAAGACATAGCCAAAGAGACTAGGACTGGAGAAATATAAGACTCCTACAAACTGGTCAAGGGCTCTTCTCAGGACTGAGGTAGGTCACCATAGGAAGAATAACAAAAACTAATGCTTTCTGGGAAGGCCATGAGGCCCAATGCACAAAATGTCAGCCCTTTATGCTTTACCTAAAAGTTCACACACAGAGTCTGATTCTAGGAACTATCAGGAAGTGAAATAGACTGCCTAAGGCCTTGCTGGTGCACTCTCTTACTCCAATTGCTAACTGTGGACTGCAAGCAACTTGACTCAGAACTCCAAGGAGGAAGCAACAGGACTGAGAGAGGTAAGATATTCATTAGTTTGCAAAACTTAGAGGAATCTTATTCTGTCCCAAACTATTCATGGTACTGAGAAGGAAACTGAAATCAAGCATAAGGGAAATATCTTGCCCAAAGTAAACACTTTACCAAGTTTTATTGTTGTTTTCTGGAAGTAGAATTGCATGTGATGTTAAGTATGCGCACTATGTGCACTTCTGTCCATCTGGTATCTCTCTCTCCCTCTTTTTATGTGCCTGATCCTTGACCAAAAAGCAGGCCCTCTTTCATCATGGAGGAGCCGCAGGGAGGTCATGCAGATGGAGGACTGCAAGACAGCTCCCTTGAATGGGGGCTTTCACAGGAAATTGAAGGACTCCTTCTCATCCCCTCTTGCCTGAGTTTCTAGGATCTTATGACTTCAGGGATCACAAGAGATCATACAGTTTTATGCCTGCCTACAAACAAGAAATACCCCTGCAAAGAGGCTAGACTTAGAAAGTGTTGGAATCAAGAGGTCCCCAATAATAACTTTGCTGTGATTATCAGGACTGGGAATTGAGAAGGAAGTATCTATCTATCTATCTATCTATCTATCTATCTATCTATAATCTGAAAAGCCAATACCAATGTCTATAATTATTCACAAACACAAGTGCTACTGGTAAATCTTCATGATCTTAGGGCTTTCTACGCCCTCTTTTAGTCAGTTTCTTTCCATCAAAACTCTTCTCTTTCTTCAAAAATGTTTCTCCATTGTTCCTCACTCCAAAAGCACTGGTCTGTTAACTCTCTTCTCTCTCACTAAGCTATTTGAACTTCCCAGGGAAGAGTGAGCCATGGTAGCCAGGAAGGAGACTCAAATCCAAGAAATCTCACGATTACTGAAGCTCTCTTATCTCCTAAATCAAGAAATTGTTGTTGTTGTTATTTGCCGTCAAGTTGGCCCAGACTCATAGCGACCCCTCCTTGGGTTTCCGGGGCAGTATCACTATGGAAGTAGGATTGCCCAACCTTCCTTCCGAGGAATGGCTGGTGGGTTTGAACTGACAGCCTTCTGGTTAGCAGTCAAGTGCCTTAGGCACTATGCTATCACAGCTCCTAAAATCAAGAAATAGATGCCCTTAAAACTAAGCTAATTTTCTTAGGAGCAAATACATTGTTTGAGTGCCTCAAAAAAAAAAAAAAAGAAGAAGAAGAAGAAGTGACAGGAAGTCAATTTTTTAACTTGGTGTAGTTAAAGCCAAGAAGTTCATAAAGTACCCTGAAAAGAAAAGAAGTTGGAGACTTGAGGGAGACCATAGGAAAAGGAGTCTAGAAGATCAGATCTAATCATACCAAACAGAAATTTAATATTTTGTTTTGTATCTAATATTGGTATATTTCTATGTTGCTGCATAGTCTTATGATTATAATTTTATTAATTTCATATTATTCCATTCAGTTGGCATTTAGTTATGCATTCTAGGATATGGAATTATTTAAGTTGTTTCTAATTTTTTATTGAACATAAAACACTGTTATGTACATCATTCTGCATGTCATATTTCAGTTCTTTTGAGTTGTAGTTTTATAACTATAAACTATAACTAGTATAAATGGAAAGAATTAGAGGATTGTCAAGTCAAAGTGTGTAGCTTACAATGTCATTTGCAATGTATATATGTCACACTTATCAATCAATTTTCTTAGGCTATTACTGTAAAATTTTGGAAAGTAAATAATGACAAAATTATATCCACGTTCCTATTTCATTACTGTTGTAAAAAAAGAAAAATATGTAACACAACCTTTGACAAGTTAATGTTTTCTGTGTGGACAATTTGGTGACACAATTATACTAATTATGATGTGGAACAATCACAAAAGAGGAAAAAGAAAATTCTGTGTTTAAGAAGCATCAAGAAGTTCTATTTACTTTTTTAACTAGTTAAGTTTAGAATTTTTCCAAGTACGTATTTTTCTATTGAATTTCTTCTAGCTTGGCATTTCTATTCATGTCACACAGATTCATGTGATCATTTTATAAAATAGCAAGTATAGAATGGACTGAAGAGAAGAGGCAATGAGTGTGGAGACTAGTTCTAAGACACCAGGGAAGTTAAGTAATAATCCAGTTCAGGTGCCCAGTGAAAAAGTGTGGATCCAGTTAAAAGTCATGGCTTACACCTTTTTTAAGTAGTAAAAACAGTAATAAATAAAAGGAAGGAAATGTCATCAGGTCATGAGCTAAAATTAAGGGAGAATAAGAGTGAAGTGATTTGATCAAGGTCTCCAAACTAAGCAAGCTACTGATAAAGTCGCTCCAGGAATGTATTTTCAACCATTAAAAAGAAATTTCAAAGTTCATGCTAACCATGAGAGATGGATCTCTGTCCCTCATTTCATAGATATGAAAATTGACCTTTAGAAAGTTAAGTGATTTGCTCAAACTCACATAGCTTTCAATTCTCAGACCCAATTTTTTTTTTTTTTTTAAAGCACAATGCAATGTTTAAGATACAACTACTCAGAGTACATCAAAGCTACTCTCTGTCCTCAGAACACTTTCTCATAGTGTTGTCTTCCTGTTGAGAGTGCTGTGGGGGAAATAGCACTGGACTGAGAGCAGAACATTCAGTTTAATTCCCGGCTATTCCATTGATTAGCTGTGTGACACACAGCAAGTCATTTCATCTCTTTAGGTCACCATCTCCCCATGCAGTAAATACGTGATCTCACTGCCCATGGAACAAACTTCCCTGAGGGACTCCTATCCATTCACACAATACTTTTCAAATGCTAGTATAGAATTGGGGGAGAAAAGCTACCCTTAAGGGATCCTAAAATGTTTGAAAAGCCCCTTCAGCAGTAAATTTCAAATGCCTTCTCCACTTCTTCTGAAGGGGCCTAGTGATGCAGAGGTTAGGCACTCAGTTGCTAACTGAAACATCAGTGGTTTAAATCCTTCAGCTGCTTTGTGAGAAAAAAACAAGTAGCATTCTACTTTCATAAATATATAAAGCCTTAAAAACTGCATGGAGGCACTTGTACCCTGTCATATAGGGTCACTATGAGTCAGAATCAATTCAGTAGTAATTAATTATTTCTTTGTTTTTTGGCTCCACTTCATAATCCAAAACTCAGAATGTCTCACATAAGATGAGTTAGTTCTACATTTCTTGACTTTGAGACCAAAACAAAAAGGCTTGGAACTAAATGGCTGTATCATCCAAAACAATCTAAGTACCCCTGTCCTCCTAAACATACTCTTAATGGTCAAAGCATATAATCTGATTTAGGTTCCAGAAATTTTTATATTCACTGACAGGATTAGTGACAACTATTGAGGGGGCCAAAGGCAGAAAAGTTGAAAGTCACAGTTGTAGTTTGCCTCTTTTATTTTTAAGCTGAAAACAGTATTGCTTGGGAAGTTCTGGGATGTGGAGATGATATTCTGATCATTAGACATTACTCTGATTACTGACCCATTACTTGTGGTAGCACTGATTTTTTTCTAGGGATAGAGTTTATAAATCACTATGAACAATCTCACTGTCTTCTCCGAGTTCATCCTCCTTGGGCTATCTGCTGACCCCCATGCTCAGGCTCTGCTCTTCGTGCTCTTCCTGGTGATTTACCTCCTGACCTTGATGGGGAACCTGGTGATGATCGTGGTGATCAGAACTGATCCTCACCTCCACACCCCCATGTATTTCTTCCTCAGACATCTGTCCTTCATGGACATCTGCTTTTCTTCAGTCACCATGCCAAAAATGCTACAGAAGAAGAAAAATATCTCACTGTGGGGCTGCATTACCCAGAGCTCCTTTTTCATGCTTTTTGGGGAGACTGAGAATTGCTTGCTCTCTGCCATGGCCTACGACCGCTATGCTGCCATCTGCCACCCTCTATTGTATTCCATGATCATGAACAGGCCTCTCTGCATTACAATGGTCAGTGTAGCATGGGTGATGGGGTTTCTGTACCCACTAGTGAATAATCTTTTCATCCACAAGTTACATTTTTGTGGGTCCAACACCATCCCCCACTTCAGCTGTGAGCTACCTTCCCTGCTCCCGCTGTCCTGCACTGATCCCACTGCCAATGAGTTGCTTCTGTCTGGGTCAACTGCATTTCTGGGGCTTCTGTCAGTTCCACTGATCCTCTTCTCTTACTGCAGAATCATCTCTGTCATCCTAAGCATTCACTCCTCTGGAGGCCAAGGCAAAGCCTTCTCCACCTGTTCCTCCCACCTCACCGCGGTGCCCTTGTTCCACGGGACAGGTCTATTCAGGTACATCAGCCCTCCCTCAGACTCATTTTTGATGCAAGTGGTCTCCATTCAGTACAGTGTGCTCACATCTTTGCTGAACCCCATCATCTACAGCCTCAAGAACCAGAAGGTGAAGGCAGCTCTACAGAAGATGCTGAAGCAGCAAATGCATTCATTAGAGGAGGGAGTCTCTGTGTGGTGTTCAGTCAGAAAATGAGGAGAAGGGATTTACAAAAACAGAAACATCTTCCAAGCAAAAAAGACATTTTAGTTCAGAGGTTCTAAAAGTGTCATGCCCAGGCCAGCAACATCAGCATCACCCATGAGCTGGCTAAAAACGCAGATTCTCTGGACTCACTGCAGAGGTACTGAATCAGAAATTATGGACTCAGAGCTCAAAAATCTGTGTTTTAGCAAGTCTACCAAATAGCTATCAGCCATGCTCAAGTGCCTTAGGCTGGGTTCTCCACAGGAACAAAACATACACAGACACACAGACACACACATGCACGCACACATACATACAAAGATTTCAAAGAAATGGCTCATGCAGTTATGGAGGTTGGAACTTCCAAATCCTTGGGTCAAGTATCAGACTGGAGGCTTCTTCTGATCACATGGTTTCAGGGACTGATGAACCTAAAGTCTGCAGATGAGGTAGCAGGTTGCTGGCTCATGTCTCGAGATGTAGAGGTCAGAGGAGAAGGAGCCAAGGCAGGATCGAGAAGAAACCAGCTCTGCCAGGACATTCATCTGTTTTAGATGAAAGTCACACTCCCCAGGAAACTATTCTGTCAATTCCTGGAGCATTATAAAGTTCTTACATATATACATACATATATATATAAAGAGAGAGAGAGAGAGAGAGAGAGAGAGAGAGAGAGCGCTCTGGTAGCATAGTGGCTAAAGCACTTGACTGCTAACCAGAAGGCTGGCGGTTCAAACCCACCAGCCACTCCTCAGAAGGAAGGTTAGGCAAT